TTTGCAAATTATTTCGAGTTAGAAATTCATAAAAAATTTTCTTTTTAAATCTAAGATATGAAAATGTAATGCAAGATTCCTCATAAGTTTGTCTACTTTTATCAAAAAAAAAATGTCTACAAGAATCTCAAATTAAATTTTTATCAACGTTTGAAATTCATATTTTTACAACATTTGATATTCACTCGGTTTCTCATGTAACGATTTTCTAATTTTGTTGTAATTAAAAAACGAATGACTAATTTTATAAAAAAAACGAATTCTAAAAACGATTCTAAAAACGATTCTAAAAACGAATGAACATTTTTATATTAGCATTTCCTATACACCATATAGTTTTGAAAATATTTTGATTCTTTTTGAGCTATTTACCGACATTTTCAGTTTTCAATTTTTTTAATTTTTTTTCTATTCATATCAATAAAATTTTATTTGTATGGTAAAAAAGCTTGAAAATTCAATGCAAAGCTCCTGATATATTGTTACATTAACACTTGAAAAATATTAAAAATACATAGGCACAATTTTTTTTTATAATTATTTAAAATTCAAATTTTGACAAAATTTATCACATTTAAAATTTAATAATAATTTTATAGTTAAAAATTTATAAAATGTTCAACTTTTATAGCTAATGATTGAAAATTTAAAACAAGATTCTACTTAAATAGGTTATATATAAATTGCTTTATTCACCTTAGTATCATCAAATATACTTAGTAATATCATAGGCTGACTTAACCGTCTTCGCTCAGAATCGTTTTTCTTATACAATGATGTTAGTATATCATTGAATTCAAATTTAATACCATCGATTATACAGTGACCCACTTGTACCCTACTGTACAGCAGAGCACCTTTTTTTGTTTATCAAACTTAAATAACTTTTATTTTGGTTTTGATATCGGAAATATAAAAACAAAGTTACAGAGTAAATTTTCTCATTTTTCTAGTGTGAACATTTAGTTTTTTAGCTTAGAGTAGAGCCTGAATGTTTTTTATACCCGTGCAAAACAGTTTTGCCTATGTTGTACCTATACGTCTGTAATACGAAGACAACACATGTGGGTGTACCTAGCGTCTTCTTTACAATCATACAGACTATTTGGTACATTGCACTTTAGAAATTATTGTATACACTGTACAAATTAAATCTAATGCAATGCAGAAATATTAGGATTAGGGGGGTGTGGGGGGCTTTGCCCCCCACGGATCTGTGAACCATAAATTATCCCAGCACCCCCTAAATTAACACCCTATGTGCGCCTATGCTGGAGAGTATTCCTCGAGCATATTATTATAATATTACCTATACCGCGGCACGATAACGATGACAGTGTATAACATGTACATTTATGATAATAATACAATGTCGTGTACACTTGGATATAATAATATAATCTGCATACCTATTGTCGAGGAGCCTATATGGAGAGTCGTCCGGGGGTAGAAACGTGCACTCGTTGTAAAGCTCCTGCAGCTCCGACACAGCAGTATATACTTCAAATACGTCCACGTTCTGCAATGTTCGACATTTTAAATGCAATTTTCTAGGGGCATTCGCGGTGTCTGCAGCGGTATTTATGATGTAGGTAAATAATAGCCAAATAGCCAATATATATTATACTATTCTACAGTCTATACGGAGTTCCGGTCGTATTCCGATGCCGGGGTTTCCATTTATTGAGTAGGTACTAATGTACTATCTACACTATAGTCTTATATTATAATATTATACATTTATACGTAGAAGTAAATATATTATACAGTATTACGATTTACGACACGGTATGATAATAATAATAATAATAGCGTGCGTTTAGAGAAAACGTTGGTATTCGATTAAAATCGCATCGAGAAGAAATCATTCAAATCAACGTCAATATAAAATTGTATAAACCAATATAGTACCTTCATGGCTTCATGTAATCATGTGTAATATTATGATTCATAGCTTGTATCATTGTAACATAAAATTGAATCCGTTTATAAATATTATTATGTACACATAGGTACGTCTACATGTACATATTATATTACTGTGACTTATACCTATACATAGGTCCAAACCAATAAATACAATAATAGAAAACAGACATCGGTAGGTAGGTATAGACGTATAGTGTTATATGTGTTTTTTAAATTTAAAATCGACAAACGATTATTGTTTGAAAGATAATAAAAAATAAAATTAAAAAACACAATATTATGTAACATAACTAATTGTTATAAAGAATATCCGGGGAAAAGTCTGTTACAATGTATAGACTCGCAAGTGTACGGAGAAAATCTGAAAATGTATAGTTGGCTGTATTTGTAATCGAAAAATTACGTATTATCTATAGGTAAGTATTTTTCCTCAGTTCTATATTTCTATGTATATGTAGGCAATTGGTGTATTTGACATTTATATCCCTATTTCACAGTGTAAAATCTAGTCTGAAAACTAAGTCCATAAACGTCATTTGTTTGTTTGTGTAATTCAATTATTGCACATAGCTAAACAAATTATTACTTTCAGAATTGACCATAGTATAGATTCTTCATAATTTTACTGCTAACACTGACTGTAGATTATTATAATATAGGAATATTGAATTACTACTGGTAGAGTATTATTATTTATTTCTTCCCAAAATAAGAAAAAAAAATAGAAAGGTTGTAATATGTACGTGTGAGTTCAAAAACGTATTAATTTTTTTAGTAGATTTGGATTTTAATAGCAAAAATATTATTTTTTCAATTCTGTGTTAATAATAAATGACATACCTATAATACATTATACAAGTACAAAAGCAATTTCTATGACGGAAAAATAATGAAATTATTTTTAAATGAAATTGGATGTTAAAAAAGTATTTTGAATACTGCACTCAGAAAAAAATTATTTAAAAAGTATTCGGAATACTATCCAAGTCTGGGAAATACTCCTTAACTTCAATAGTTCAATATTTTAGTTTTCGCGTACAACATTAAAATCTTACGTCGAATTAGCAACGAATACGACTGTCTCCTGTGGCAAGATGAACTTACCACTCTAGTTAGTTGGTTTGAATTTATTGGTCTTAACTTGAACGTAAATAAATACCAATCCCATGTCTTTCGCCAGATCCCGGTCTTGTATTTACCACACCTACTCGATTAACAATATCAATCTAACATCGATCAGTCGTAAAAAAGACCTGGGAGTTCTATTTTCCTTAGACGTAAGTTTTCACTATCACATCCAATCAATATGCTATAAGGCATATAATACATTAGGATTGGTAAAACGGATATCGTTTGACTTTAAGCTTATATCTCTCGGTGGAGGCTCTCTATTGCTCATTAGTACCACCCCTACTTGAATATGGTTCTCTAGGATCCTCACACAGCTCCGACTCTGCCTCCATTGAACTAGTCCAAAGGCGATTTCTATCTTATGCCGGAAACGTGTTGAATATTCTCCACGCGATACATGAATACCCGCCAGTTCTAGGCATGAGCTCGGTCTTTCAACGCTAGCCGACAGAAAAGTTGGCAGTAACTTGAACTTTCTCCGAAACCTCATTGACGGCTCTGCTGACGCTCCTACGCTTCTTTCCCTTATCAACTTTTGGGTCCCTCCACGTCGGTCCCCCTCTACCACCACTTTTCCAATCCATATGCGAGTCAAAAATTATAGTTCGAACAATCTGATTCACAGCATGTTGCACTTTACTATTTACTAATGTTCACTTCAATCTAGACACCTGGTTTCGTTTCACTTCCGCAGATTTGCTATTTCTATGTAAAATGTAACTATTTTTTCCTGTACTTTGGGCTACACCTATATTTAATAAGATAAAATAAAAATAAATATATATCCGTTTAATATTTTACAAAAATATATAAAATAGTCAAATGATTTAGAAGCATTAACATGAAGTTGTTCATGTTTTCTTTCTTTTTTTGTTCTCTATTCCACTTATATTATGCTTTTTTGTTTCAGACGTTACTATAACCCTATAATATTGGTATATCTATCTATTTATTAATTTTAATATACTTAAAAACTCTACAGTTTTTTTATATAGCAATAGTCGAAAACACGGTCTGGTCAACTGTCAAGACTTGGTACCTCCATATTTTTTTGACATGAATATACCTAATATAGTATGATAATCTTATTTTTCTCTGCAATTTGTTTTAAAATGTAATATTTTTCACTATAAAAAGTACTAATGAGTAAATAATGACCACTAAAATGTTAAGCAAACAACATTATGGGATTTTTATATATGTGGGATCTGGGGACGTGTCCCCCTGGCCCCTGGTCATTACTCGATCTAGGACTGAGTTCCACCAATAATGAATAATTTATGATTTAGTTGTTTTGCTTAGAAAATAACGACGCATCTGAAGAGGAGGTAGCTAGAGAAATAATAAAATAGCACTTAACAAACCATTATTTTAATGTTAACAACAAAACTCTACACAATAGTAAATACATTATAAATTATTTAATCATAACATACAAGTTAATATTATAATATATTTATATAATATAAAAAAAAAACAATCATCTCTATTTCAAATATAGTACTTGAATATAGGTCGTATGATGAATCAAATTAATGAAACTAGTAGGTACAATAGTTGGTATACATTAATCGTTCTGGTCTACGATAGAAATTAACGAGCAGATATAATAACATTTTTATTTTGAATGAGGTCATGACTCATGTTCATCAAATAGCATAAGTAATATACGATTATTATTTATTTTTGGTACCTACATTGAATTAAAAAGAACGATTTTTTAAAAAACAATTTATAGTAATATTAAATATTATTATTTAGTATTTACTATTATATTTTAAGTGCGTTATTGTGTGAATAAAATATGCAATAACAATCGAATGCTTACAATGACTTACGCACACTTCGTTTTCATTTGGTCAAAACACAAAATGTAGGTACTTAAACAAAAAAAAAAAACCATAATATGCCTACGATATCTCACTTAATTTCTTTAAGCTTTAAATCAGGTTAAAGTTATCTTCGGTGCTAGTCGACTCGGAACATTTGTATTTGGCCTGACAATCTCCGTCCGCCCTACCGTCTTCAATGGCTTCTTGCAACTTGATCAACATTTGCTCGTATTTCGCGTCTAACGGCACCACACTGAAATCAATACACACAAAAATAATAATAATATATTATTCAATTAAATATTTGCAAGTATTATACACGTCACATTACTCTCAAGCAAACTATTGCTGTAGTACCTATTCACTGCACAATGCACATTGATTCCGTGAAGGGGACTTGGCGTGAGCGTGTTTAAAATATAATCTGTATAGTTGTACATTTATAATCTATATAGGTACTTATAATATACTATAAGTCTATAAATAATAAATATTATAGAAAAACAACTTTAGTATATTATAAGAACAGCCGATCGGATAACGTTTGGTTAGCATAGGCATGCTTAGCGTGATGAATTTATATGTAGGGATTATGTGTGCTATAGCCTATTATGTTTCTGGGGTATACACAACATAAATTCTAAAAATGTAAGAAAAAAAAAAAATTATGGGATGGGGGATAAACAAATTCCAAACAATTAATATAATATTTGTCGGAATTATGTAATCTATATTATCTATGATATGGGTAATTAACAAATTAATGAAATAATAAAAATATTATAAAACTGCCAAATCAATATTTTAAATGCAAATAAAAATTAGTTATCAGGATTATGAGCAGTGTTGGAAAAAGATAACCAAAAAAATCATCTGGATAAGATAACAGATAAGATAAAATATAACCTCATTTTTTTTTATCTAGACACATACATTTATCTAGAAAAAAAATAGATAATTTGTTTTTAAATTATATTATAAATAATGTAAAATTACTAATTAGGTAATATTTATTAATTATTAAATCCCTAATTACATTTCTCAACTAAAATATTATTCAATTTTAATTTTAATTTTTAATACAACTTGAATAAAAATAAAACAGACAATATTTCAGTAAACATTTCTTTTTTTAGCCAAATATTTGAATTTGGAATCTCATAAATTATTGACTATTTCAGTATTTAAAAATATTCTTATTATTATATTATTTATCTAGATAAATGACCACAGATAACCATTACATTTATCTAGATGAAATAATTAGATTATTTAATTATTTTTATCTAAATAAGATAATTAAAGAAATAATTTTGTCTAGATAATTAATCTAGATAATTCCCATCACTGATTCTGGTTACTTGTAAAAATAATCTCCTCTACACTCTTTCTCCCAACCGTAAAAAGTAAAATAAATATTCAACATTAGTTCAATTGATGCATAAAAACCTATATGTACCTATCCTATTAAGGGGATTCGATCCAGCGTATTTATTTCATGATTTAGACCTAAAAGCCTGACAAAAATACGCCTACTTAGAATTATCAGATTTCAATTCTGTAAAAAGATTCGAGTTCATTGACAATTTTCCTAGGTTATTGTGGGAATCAATTTTCGATATTTTTTTTTGAATTCACGTTAAATCATATATCGATTTCTCAATTTTTTGAAAATTGTTTGTGTCTTTCTTTAAAAAGTTAAACAGTTATTCAAAAATCGACTCCCACAATAACCTAGAAAAAAGAACGATGAATTCAAATATGTTTACAGAACTAAAATCCGATCATTCTAAGTTATCGTATTTTTGTCAGGCTTTTAGGTCTCAATTGATTGAAATTAGTTTCTCGTTGGAACAAATATTTTAGTATGTGACATGTGCATGCGGGTGCGAACCACTGATTCCGAACGTATCTACGCACACTAATGATCATTTACTTCGCACACAAACACACTGCGAAACGACTATAATACATCGAATTGCCTATACACGACCCCTTATTAAATCACCGGATCGAATCCCCTTAATTATATTTTATTCAAAACTTCGTTTTAAAACCAAAGTTATTATATAAATATTAAATAAATAATATTATACAAATAATATAAAAAATGCCAACGGCACGTAGTGTTCCCAAGCGGTCACCCATCCAAGTACTAACTACGCCCGACGTTGCTTAACTTCAGTGATCGAACGAGAACTAGTGTATTCAACGTGGTATGGTCGTTGGCAAATGAAACGAGGTTCTACATTATATTTAAATAAAAAGACCAACAGGCGTAACCACTAAAAAATATGTATATTATTTCTAATGTGGCACACCGACAAAGGTTGGACATTTATAAATGTTGTTTGTATTTGATAATAGTCATGTTAACTTACGCATCTAATAATTTCGCCGTTCTCCAGACCATTTCAGCGCTCTTTAAGTAACTCTCCGCCCTGGCCGGTTGCTCACACGCTACACGGTTCAAGCAATCGTAGCGACCTGACTCATCGGCTACCAAATATCCAAGGAACAACAGCAAATCCGTCTCAGTGACCATGTTCTGCATGAGGCTGGTCCCGGCTAAGCCCGCCGCATCCGGTCCGTCCTTCCGGCTCTTGCCACCGTGCCCCTGCATGTACGATGCTCCCCAGATCAGTCCTTTGAGAACCAGCATCAGGACCACGTTGGACATGTTTAGGCTGAGCATCTAGACAAACAGATGACGACGGACACTGTATAATAATCGATGATCATTCACATACCGTCGAGTATGGCAGTGCGGTCGTCGATGAGGGTAGCAGACGAAGGTATACAGGGTGATTCACCAAACATGTTTCTGACACCCGATTTGTCCCTTTGATTATATATTTATTACAATTTTGATTTTTGGGATTTTTAAGTATAAGTACTAAAAACCATATTTTGAATTTACGTACTCATGGAATATGTATAGAGTAACGTATGGAAATACTAATACAAAATGTTTTACAAAATTCACAGTTATAATTTGTAAAAAAAGACGTTTGTATCACTACTAGACACTCTTAAAATGGCAAAAAAAATATAAATAGTAAAAAATGGTCTTTATAGTACACTAATTGTAAGTTATATCTATACTAAAAAATTCCAAAATATCAGAATTTAAATAAATGCATAATTAAAGCATAAAATGGGAGTGAGCTGCTCACTTGGTGAATCATTTTGTATATAAAATGCACAATGTTAACAGTAGGAATATACATATAGACGAGAAAGTGATATAAATTATTTAATATAATATAGCCATAGGTATAGGAGTATTATGTTTATAAAAATAGGTATACAATATTAAAAATATCATCATAGAGACATAGTGTGAAGATCAAGTCAAAGTCAATGAGGAAGTAACCGTTTATTACGTTATAAATGACGCCGAAATTATAGGTAGTATAGTGGAGAGCCACTAGGTAGGTAGGTAACGAAAAAGGTCAGATAGTGTGGTTGTGGGTTTTGAAAGCTTTTAGTAAATTTATCAATTCAGGACGATTTCAATATGAATGAGAATATTTATAATTTTTTTGCCAGATTAACATAATTTTGTTATTCTATATAGCGTACATATTATTATATATTATCATGTTTTTGATAATTTAGAGCAATAATGATTGTGCGAAATATTTTGTACTAATTTCTGATTTCTAATTAAAAATGTTAATACACGTGAATTTATACGTATAATCAGATTTTACTTTTTTGTCAAATAATTACCAAATGCGTGGATTTTAGATTTGTGTAAGTATTTGGCTTAATTTAAATACCGAAATGTATCACGCTGTAATACAATTTTAATATGGCTCAACGTTCCGTGACCGTCCAAAATTCAAAGGTGAGGTCGTAGGGAATGAGAAATTATACGCCCCATCGCAGCTGGTCAACACGATTTTCATAGACTAAAGTAATTTTTAGAGTGGAAACACTGTGAAATGGTTAACAATAAAAAAAAACTATTGAATCGGATGAAAAACATTTTATGGTTTCTTAAATTGTTATTTAATATAGTTTTCGTTTGAAAGGATATAACTATTTAGTATTTAATGGTCAAATGGGAACTACAGATTTGGACAGTTTAGAAAATTCGCAATTGAAATCAAATTAATTTATAAATATATAATGTTATAATATGTGCTTGTGTTGCTCTATTCATTTTCAGTACAGAATAGTTAAACGGACTTATATTGGGAAATACATTATTAATATGATGAATAAATGATGGTTTATTAATAATAACTAATAATTAATAAGTAATACTTGAGAAGTACACAAGTAACTATAGTATAATAATAGGTAAACAGCCTAAAAAAAGTAATATTTTGTATTTTACTGGATTTCGGTACAACAAACTGTACAGTTAATTGTATAATTATACGGTCCTAATACTTATATGAATATGACGTATATATAATTAAATATTAAACAATGGAAAAGATTTTACATTTACTTTTGAAAGTTTACGTGAATAATATTATGCATAGGTCTATAGCTTATGGATTTGTCTTCGAAGTTAAAATTCTATAGGCAATATAAATATAATTTTGGTTTTCGAAATTTTGCTTCTATGTAATTAATAATTATTATTTATTATTTTGCAGTTTAAAATATTTCAATAATTTCATAGTTTATTACTTAACAAATGATTCCCCTCGTTAGGTTTTGAGTTAATATTATACGTAGTGATTTTGTAAGTACCTATGCGCCCCAATTTTTTTACTTAAATTGTATATATTATATTCAAATTATGATTTTTTGAATTTCTAAATACTCTTGAAGATTTTTGAATACTTGAGATTTTTTATACCATTTAAGAATGATGTTATTAGAATGCAAACTTCTGTCTTTAAAATAGGAATCCCCTTATTTTACTTTTAACAAAGTAAAAAAAATAATGAACATTTAGATACATTTACATTTACAAGAGCATTATCTGCTAAATAATTTGCAGTAAAAAGAAATTCTCATTTGAAAAATAGAAGTTTGTATAGCCACAGGACACTCTAATATTAGTAGAAAAAATATCAGGAATTTGAATATATTGTCTTTAGGTACTTAAAAATTCTATAAATCAGAATTTGAATAAATGTATTTTTAATGGAAAAAAGGTAGTGAGCATTTTTTCCCCAAAATGTCAATTAAATTTTGTATTTCATGATAGTGCCCCTTCTGATCCATATGGGCCTTTTGTGTGCCAGGCCGACACTGCGGTGATAGCCTAAGATAATAATATACGATTCGCGTTTGTACTGTGCAATGTGCCAATGTGCATACATTAAAATGTTTATTGTTGTAATAAAGTGCGAATTGTTACGTTGTACGAACTGACAATGAACAAAATACATCGTCCAATATAATATGGGTTTCTATTATCATAAAATATGTTAACATATAATATATATATAGAAATAATCGTATTTTCACCGTGTATAAAATATATAATTCATATGTAAACATAGTGTCATTGTGACGAATCCAGTGTATATCATCTCGAGTCAAATATTATATTATATATACGTGTATATTTTCATTATGAATATAATATTATGGGTATTGGGTTCGTGTGTGTGTGTATTGAAAACGATCGCAGTGGTCGAGAAAGCATTATGTAGAAGAGTCAAGAACAGCATTAAAATATACTGTTATTAAATTGATTGAAGACTGAAGTAAAAGTAGAACCGAAATGCGATTTAGCCATAGAAATAAGATTCTCGAAAAGACGGGGGAGGGGGTGTTAAAGTTTTGTTGAATACATAAATGAAATACTAGCCAAAATGTCGGGTAGATCGCATAATCCGAGGGCCATCTTGAAAAACTGACAGGGACTGGACAAGGTGGTCAGGGAAGACATTTTGCAGAAACCCTGGCCGGTGGACCTCTTTTTTACACCCGGATTTATACAGTGCTGGTTCTAAATATACAATATAATAATACGTTGCACACGCGTTATTACCAACAGCGACAAATTATATCCCATTTAAAAAAATTTTTTTCTAAAATCTTTCTACGAGAAAATAACATGAAAATAATATAAAAACCAATGTATATGTTGTTTTGTACTTGGCTACTGGTGGCTCCCGTTCTGCTGATCATAGACTTGGCGAAACCCGCAAATATCGACTCCATGTCCAAAACCCTCGGCTGCTGCGAGGCGTCTCTCTTACGGTCTGCAGCGGTTCCGGCGTCTTCGTAGTCTGCAGCGTGATTTTCACCGATCGCGTGTCCCACCGCCCGACTGGCCAGCAACAGTAAGCACACGGACGCAATGCTCGTTGGCTGCATAATGTACTCTTAAAAAAAAAAATTACAAAACGCATAACAATAACATACGGACAATAGTCACTATAGAGGTTTATCAGCCGACACTGATGAAATATATTTAGTCCGATCGACACTCACCGGTATAGGAACAACGAATACACACGTAACTATCAATGTATCTTGTGGATAAATTATGGCGGTGAATCGGCAATGTCAATAATGTCACGATGTTGTGTTGGATTGTCTTCGACGTGTTAAATGATGGTCCAGACGGTCGACCGGCCGATTTTGTTATGTCTCCGGCCGGGAAAGTAAAAGTGTCGAGTATTGTTCGTGCTTTGACAGCATATCGTTGCAATTAAAATTTCACTAGAACTCATAACAATATGTAACAACCAGACGAACGGAACCGTGTGTGTGCGTGCGTATGAGTGTGTGTTTGGCGGAAAAGAAAAACTTGCAACCTGCGGAAGAAACGGTAAGACTGACGCCACCACAATGGACTATCCGTCAAAAATCATGACTGCAAACGATTTTGTTTGTTCATGTTTACTGTGTGTTAAGTAGTGATTATTATTGTTTTATTTTACCCATGTGCTTGTCGAATGACTTAAACTGTGTATAGACTCACTAGAATTTATATTATTCGTACTATATCGTACGCTTTCTAAGATTTCGTTAAATTATTATCAGTGTAAATCAAATTTTTTTTATACGTTTCATAACGTAACATAATATAATGCTTATCTTGAAGTATTTTTGAATGAGATCCGTTAGTAAATAATAACCCTTAAATTGAGTTTATAAAAAAGTCGAAAAAACTAAAAATATGTTCACGCACAACTTTTTTGTTCTTAGAAACAGGACTTGTTCAACAAAATAAATTTGAATAATAATAAAAATTATAAATACATAACTATATAACATGTTCTTCAGTTCTTACTAGCAAATAAATATTTATGCAATAATTAAATGTATACAGGTACTTACTTATGTAAAAATAATAAATTGGTATGATTATCAGGCAAATAATTTAACTGGTATGTAAGTAAACTGCCTATCACGCATTTTAAAGGCGGAACTGTGGAACAGTAAGAAATATCAATAGTAGTCAGTTATATGATGAAGGGGATAAACAATTTATTTTATTATAGATACTTCTAATAAATTTTTCAATGAGTAATACATTTTATTGATTAAAAAAAAAAATCCTTTGCTATGGAAATTATCAAACTTTTAAATAAATCTAAAAGTTAAAATGCAATAAATTCATAACAGCACCCGCAAAACATAATATTATATGATACCTATCTATAGGTTCGCTATTTGTAGTTTTAGACTCTGAGCGGAGTGAGGACGCAAATGGTTTTACAATGGTGTTTATTTTTTTATATTATTTTTTTAATCCCTTTTTTATTTTATTCCTTTATACAAAAATTCTACCAGAAGTACTTCGATTTCAACATATAGTAGGTACCTTATCTTTTAGCAAATTGGATCAAGATGGTACTTTACTACTTTAGAAAGGTCATTTTTTGATTTTCTCAATAGTTATTTGCCACAGGAAAAACCACCGACAAATTACGAAAAAACCACTAAAAATGGAATTTTAATTTCTAATACATTTTTTATCACCATAGAAACGAATAAAAAATAATAATACCTTCTGTAATATAAATTCAACTTGCAGGATATAATAAATAATAACAATATCCAGACTGACAAACCACATTCTCTCAGAATCGTTTTTCTTGTACAATGATATTATATATTTCTATCATTGAATTCAAGTTTAATACAATCCCTTATACATTGACCCACTTGTAACCTACTATACAGCAGAGCGACATCCAATTACCCAATTTTAGATTCTGAGCGGAGCGATGAATGTATTGATTTTACAATGATGTGTGTTTTAAAACAAAATCTGTTTTCGAAAAAATCGTTTTTGGTTTTTGGTGTAACTCTTAAACAAATTACCGTAGGTACATGCAAATTTTGACTGAATGTTTATATTAGCATTTCCTATACATGATAACATTTTCCAAATAGTTTGACTTATTTTGAGCTGTTTACGGACATTTTCAGTTTCCATTTTTTTTAGTTTTTTTATCTATAAATATCAATAAAATTGTATTTGTTGGTTAAAAAATCTTGAAAATGTAATAGAAGTATCCTAGTATATTATTTTCAAAGGCAGATGAAAAAAATTAAAAATCAAAATTTATTTTTATAAGCATTTAAAGTTCAAATATTGACAAAATACGCAAAAATTACGAAAATTTGCAAATTATTTTAAGTTAGAAATTCATAAAAAATTTTAATTTTAAATCTAAGATTTGAAAATGTAAGGCAAGATTCCTTATAAGTTTTCCTACCTTTATCAAAAAAACAAATGTCCACAAGAAAGTCAAATTTAATTGTTATGAGCGTTGGAAATTCATACATTTACAACATATTTGATATTGACTCGATTTCTCATGTCACGATTTTCTTATTTTGTTGTAATTAAAAAGCGAATGACTGTAGATACTTGAAAATGTCACTGAATGTTTATATTAGCATTTTCTATACACGATAAAGGGCGTCATATATTATTAATAAAATAAAATATCTTTATTTATTTATTGAATCATCATTTACCACAACATTATTAATTAGAAATAACAAATTAGGTATATAAATTGAAAATAGGCATTTAAATAGGTTTTTAAAATATAAAAATATTCATGATGTTATCATAAAAAGCGAGCTCGTGATAGAGGAGTTAAGAGTACAATTACCTATCTGATTCAATACGAGTCTATCCGATGTATAATATTATTATGACAGTTAGATATTAAATATTAATTTTAACGTACCCAAGACACTAAGTAATTATTTCAAAAACTTTTAACGTATTTACAAATAATTTTTCTACATAATTTTAAGTCATAAAAAACAACTTTTTCTTAACATTAAAATATTTATAAGTCATAGGGACTAGGTGATAAACTACTTGTCCAAAATGATTGAAAACAAGGTTTCAAGTACCTAAGTGTTCATTTTGTAACCAAAAATTCTAAAAATATATAAACAGTTTTTTTATAGTTGTTTTAAGTTCAAAGTTGGATGAAATAACATATTAAAACCAAGAATAACGGTTTTAGTTATTTTGTTGTTATTTATATTATTATTGGGTACTTGAAACTTTTAAAATATATTATTATACTTGGCAAAAACTTATTTAACTTACTTTAGACTGTAGTACTAATGCCTAATAATAAAATAAATAAATTTAATCATAATAATATCATGAAATATACCTACTTAGTATATTATAGGCTGACAGAAAGTATGTTCGCTCAGAATCATTTTTCGCATACAATATTAATTACAATGATTTTATATTATTGAATTAAAATTTAACACACTCATTACCCACTTAGACTTAGGTAGGTACCAGCTTTTTATTTTTCTTGATTATTGTAAAAAGCAATGAAAAATTGTTTGTTTTTTATCCCCCTCACCCAAATTTTATGACCTATATCTTATTTTCTGACTATCCGAACCATTCGAACCATCCTCAGAGACAGGTGGCTACCGTAGTCCGTAATACAGTGTCATGTATCATTATAATATGTATATTTTATATTCTTATGATATAAGTATAATACTATTATACTCCTCGGTGCTACGACAGTATACCTAGGTATAATGTCATCACAGACGTCATTATTACGGAGGACAAGAGATAGTATAGAGATTCGGTCGTTTTTTAATCATGTGTTTACGAAACTGATTTGAAAATAGAATTAAACGATTACATTAGTTTTGGAATGTAATCGTTTGACGTGAGTCCGCACAGAAATAAATTGAATATGTCCCAGAAGTGTACTGTTTGCCAATGACAGAGTTATTGGCCATTTAAAACTTTAAAGGCCCTGTCAAACGGAACGCGTTATAACGCTCGTTAAAGCGGTAAATGGCTCGTCCGCGTGGTGCTTTCACGCCCGTGAATAATGCCGCGTTGTAACAAATTACAAAATCACGAGACCTGAAAATAACACTTTCTGTTTGACAGAGCCTTTAAATGCAAAGGTAGATCATTATAATTTATATTATAACTTATAGCTATACTCCGTTCAGATTAAGATTGAACCGCTCGCTCGACGGCCGACGATGACTATATTGGCCAAACACAGAACGCATAGCCATCGTATGAGGGGGGGGGGGGGTCAAGCACTGTTCGGCGGCTCAGTCTGCATGCGCGACGCGGTTCAATCTTAACCTGAACTGAGTTATACCTACATACTTAAAGACCGTATTTTAACATTTTTTAATTTTTTTTTTGTTATATTTAAGGAATGTTCTGCTGAAATAAAAACTCCTGCTTTTCAAATGAGAATTTCTCTTACCTGCTGTAAATTATTTAGCAGATATTTTTTCTGAAAATATTTACGTATCAAAACCAAAATTGTGTGGTTACAATCCAAAAATTTCTATTGCCATTAATAGTTTTTTCCATGAAGGCCACTTTTATGTTTTATTTGGTTAATGTATTGTAGAAAATGAATATGTATACCTACTTCAAATGTTTAAAAAAAAAATCGAAAAATTTCTTTTTCTTACATAAACTTTAATCTAATTTAAGAACATATTTTAAGCAAGTTAATAAAGTTGTTTGTGTCAAAACTTGCTATTTTCATCCAATAGCACGTGTTAACATGAAAAATTCGTAGCAAGAATAATCTACTTCAGTGATATTTTTTCCAAAACGTATTACCACATAATTTCAAAAACAAAAAAATGAATATTTTTAGATTTTAAGAATAATATCTACATTCTCAGTGTAAAAATACTTCTGCACCGCACGTTTACAAATTTAAAATTGATTGTTTGACTACCCGATATCAGTAATACTCATTTATGACGTGATTTTTAATGATATAAATTACAATTATTGTAAAATTATTAACACATTATCAACTATTTAGTTGATAATGACGTGTTAATAATTTTAAGGAGACAATTTTGTCTTATTTCCCAAGATAAAATTTGCACTGGTTTGATACTTTGATAAAATACTTAATTTTAAATAATTATTAATGTGAATAATAAATGTAATCTTATAGGTATTGCCTATATGGACATACGTCAATAATACGTTTTTAGTTATATTTTGTTCCATCTTATACTTAAAGTCTTACAAGTTACAACATGAGCAATAAGGAATAACACGTTTCGTATTGTAATTTGTAACCACACAATTTGAAATAGTAGTTTTTTAATTATTATTAACTTAGCTTTGTGTAATTTACACCATTTTTAGGTAGTGTTTGGAAGACAGTGGAATGCAGCCGCCATCCAGGGAAAGTGAAATAAGCACCACATGCCCACTTAAAAAGGAAGTAAAATTAATTAATTAAATTTATAATGTCAATTGGCAATTGGTATGTTGCAATATAGGCTTTTCATTAAAAGTACTACTCTATTATATGTATTATATTAAAAATAAGAAAAAATAAATTATGAAATTATGTATATTATAAAAGTATTTAGGTAGGTAGGTACCTTGTACCTACTTTAAGTTTTCTTTATAAATTATTATTCACATATTATGTAACAGTAATTAGCTGTAAATAGAAACTGTATCTTCAATTTTTCGGCTCTAAAATCATTTTTAAGGACTCTATTTTCTTACTTCTTAGTGTAAAATATGTTTTAATAACTGAAAAACTAATCATATTGAATTTCGAATTATGTAGGTATAGCCTTTTGTAAATTGTAGGTAGGTAATATCAACATTTTCAGAACAATTTTCAACTTAATAATTTACAGTAATATTATAAAAATAAGAATATAATAAATAATATTATAAGAATATCAAATCAAATCGTACCTATGGGCTATGTCGCTATGACGTGTTATGATATATTATTACAACATATTATTGTATAATAATCGACGGTTAATAATTCATATCTTATAGTAAACAAACATTATTTCCAAGGCCGTGATCGTCTAGTGGTTAGGACCTTGCGTTGTGGCCGCAATAACCCAGGTTCGAATCCTGGTCACGGCACAAATTTTTTTGCGTTTTTAATAAAATATAAAAGTCACATTAGTATAATTTATAAATTTAATATATTAATTATATTAAATATTTTGTAAATAAAACAAATAACAATACATTAAAAAAAATTATAATGTATAAATCCTATAAAAGAGATTTTGGCAATAATATAACAATAATAACTACTTTTTTTGTCGAATATTTTAACTAATATAGAAAATAATTAGGTACCATAAAAATATGTTGATTAGTGATTACACATTTACCAACTATGTATATAAAATAATACAAAAAGTTTATGTTTAGGTATCCGCAGATTGCTCTCTGCAGCATGTTCGTCGCCTTCGATCAGACTTAATTCCACATTTACACAAATAATTATATTTAAATGCGATAAAGGTTAGTATAGTTTGGTAGTCAAGTAGATTGCGTCTTTTTAATTCAATTTTATTCAGCTAGACTTTGAAGTTATCGGCAGCAGCAGTCGGACCGAAGCATTTGTATTTCGACTCGCAATCCCCGACCGCCATTCCGTTCTCGATGGCTTCTTGCAATCTAATCAACGTTTTCTCGTACTTCGCGTCCAACGGTATCACACTGAAAATTTACGTTAAATATCACGTTTAAATTTTGTAAGTATAGTCGTATAGATATTTAAAATCATCTCAATCGACGTTTGTGGCGTATTGTGGTGCAAAGGGGGGGGGGGGGTATGAGCGAGCAAAAGAACATTCGAGTACGATAATATTATTTTAAAAGTATGTAAACCATTTAAGAAATAATTAACTTAGATATCAAATGCTTTATATATAATATACATAAATACATTATACTTATAGGTATACAATATAATATATACATATAGGCAAAACTGTGGAGAACTAGCGGAATTAGCGCACACCCAATTTTATTTAACTCAGAAATATTTAACCCACAAAAAATATTATCCTTATTACTCGACGAGTGCACCTCACCCGTCAAACATTTTCGCGGTTTTCCAGACCATTTCGGCTGTCCTGAGATAACTCTCAGCTCGCTCCGGTTGCTCACACGCCACGCGGTTCAGACATTCGTATCGACCTGACTCATCAGCTACCAGGTATCCGAGGAACAGCATCACATCGGTTTCAGTTACCATGTCCTGGAACAGTCCCCCGACCGCGGTCGAGGTCGAATCCTCGTTTCGCGCTTCTTTAACACCATTACCACTTTGAATGTACGACACGCCCCATATCAGACCCCTGAGCACCAACATCAGCACTAAATTCGACATGTTCAAGCTGAGCGACTATAAACAGAATGAACATATTATGTCGACCATATTAATAATATTACCATATTATTTATTATATTATTATGTACTATTATGCAAAGGTGGGCATTAACTTGTTAAAAAGTTAAGTTAATAATTTTTGTTTTTAATTTATTCAGTTAAAATTGTTAGTGCTGTAACTTAACTTTTTATAGTTAATTATCATTGTCGTGCAGTTAAGTTAATTTTATTTTCGAGTTATGCGTAATTAACTAGGCAATACTGATTCGTTGACTCTTTTACGATTTTGGTAATTTATTTTTGAATTATATATTATAATAATCAATTTTTTTACACAGTGCTAAATGTCTTGATATATGTTTGTGTATAAAAAAATACTATGGTAGTTTGTGACTTAAAAGTATTGTACCTTCAAAATATTAACTTTTTTTTAACTGAGTTAAGTTAATTTTATTTTCTATCTTAACTTTAAACTTAAGTAGTTAAATTTTTTTCTTTGTTAACTTTTAACTTAACTGAAGGAAATTTAATTGAATTAACTTAGCTTACCACAGTTAATTATTTTCATTAACTTGCCCACCATTGCTATTATGTCGCGGTCGTCGTTTAAAAGTTATACCGTGCATGATAAGTATTCAGGCAAATAACATAAATGGATAGTATAAAATTATATTTTAATACATTAATTATATAATAGTGCGACTGTTATAAATAAGGCAGATGACTTATTTTATACAACTTGCTTATTTGCTATCGTGCTAGACACCTATCGCCAAATAAATTAGTTTTTTTCGTGATAAGGAAAGAAGCCAGACCGGAAAATTTGTTTTTTCCTAATAGTTTCCTTAATTATGTCAAGGCATATTATTTATTTTCTGACGTATTTTATCAACAAAAATATCGCATTAAAGATTGAACTATTATTGATTTAAATAACTTTTAACTAAAATAAGTACTCTATATTCGTTTTATATTTCTGCAAAAAGTAGGGAGGTACTATACCTTTAAAAAAGTTGTTAAGATTTATTTATTCAAGTTAGGTACAAAATTAATTTAGTTATTCAGTACGTGTTCGACCTCCGACTGAACAGCACGTGTACATCTTTCGCGACCGTGCGCTTTTATAGCTTCCGATAGCACTCCGTTAATTATGCCGGTGACCAGCGTACAGGTAATATAATCATTATTTTATTATTATCTGACGCGGAACATTCGACGTAATGAGCGACAAAAATACAAAAGGCAAACCGCCTTTTACAAAAACATTAAACAAAAATATCACAAACACTCACTCGAAAACACCTTCTGTAAAAAACATACCCACAAGCCATATTAAACAAATTCCCATCTACTCCAAATCAAACAGTTCAAAAACAAATCCTAGTTCGAACAAGTCAAACTCAAATGTCTCTGTAGATAATATTGATACATTACCGCCACTCCCACGCTCCACTCCTACCTCTGCCAACACCGCTGCTCTCCTAATTACCGCTGCAGCTAATCAACACGATAACCACTCCAATTCTGATAACCAAAACGTTATCGTTTTCAACGACGACAACGCCCAACCCCACCCAGCACACAGCTCAGAATCACCTACCAGTTTTGCTACGATTACGGCAAACGAAAAAACTCCATCCAGGGAACAAGCAATTGTTTTCAACTCTATAGACGGTATCAGACAAATAGAATATATTCTTGCAATTGGAAAACTGATCCCCCCTCGGGACATAATATTCACTTCAAGGATATCCAACAATCGTTTCTGTATTTTTTTTTCAAGCAAAGAAGTACTCGATACACTTCTTGAAAAATCCAAAACGATATCAATAAATGAACACACTATCCCTATTCGCAGATTGATTAATCCAGCCAAAAAGATCACGATATCAAATGTGTGTCCATCCATACCTAACATAATTATTCTTAACGCATTAAAAAACATCAATATATCTCCAGTCTCACAACTAAACCATATAAAAGCCGGCATCAATATTGCGGGATACGAACATATCCTGAGTTTCCGCCGCCAAATGTTTATAAATCAAGAAGATATCACCAAACTACCTGGGTCGTTAGTTATTAACTTTAACCAAACCTCATTTAGAATCTTTTTTACTGACGACAGAATCACTTGTTTCCTATGCAAAGAGGTGGGTCACACTTCTGCGTCATGTAAAAAACAAATTTCTCATAACAGCCCAATTGCAACCGTTGATGATCATACTACAGAACTACTCGAAGATATTCAGCTTCCTGAATTACCTCCAATAGACACAACCCAACCACAAAGTACCATGGACTGGAATCAGGAAAACAATGATATAATTTCATCCCAACCCGTAGCAAATACTAAAACATCCCATGTAACAATGAAAACACCAATCACCACTCAAGCCAAAAGACCTCTATCGGATACAAATACAATTAAATCTCCCACCTCCCCTACAGCACCAGGCAGCCCTATGCCTTTCATTCAACCTGAAAAAAAAAAAGCCAAAACCAGCCGCTCTAGATCCAACTCTCTCACTTCCACCGACGACAACAAAATCAACACCTCGCTTGAACCTACAGTCGCCTTTTTCAGCGACAGTGAGAATACTTCAATCACCCTGGACCAATTTAAATACTTTTTGGAAAATATTAGAAACCCTAATATTAATATATACACATTATGCGACGAAATTAATTCCAACATCTCGGACATGCTCGACTTGACGGAAAAAATATACCCTCTAATTACAGATCGTGCAATGAAGTCCAAAATAAAAATTTTATCCAACTTATTGTTTAAGACCCTTCCTCCCAACTAATTCAACCAAATGAATAAAAGGATTCCCTCAGATCTATCATTTTTCACATCAAGCACCTTCAAACCTCCTATACAATTCAAATGAAAACAAATATAATTCAATGGAACATCAACGGGTTCTTCAGTAGACTTGAAGAGCTCCAGATACTAACCAAAGAACTGAACCCTGCAATAATATGCATTCAAGAAACCAATTTTAACGAGAAAAGCAATCCCAAATTTACGCACTACGATATCTATAAACGCAATCGCTTCTCGTGTATCAGAGCCAGCGGTGGCGTCGCAATAATGATCAACAAAGATTTCCCCAGTGTCGAAATCCCTTTAATCACTGATTTCGAAGCAATAGCCGTTTCAGTCAATCTGCCTCATACAAAACTAACCATATGTAACATATATATCCCAAACAACAGAGATTTCTGCCTAGATGACATCGAACGTATCATAAAACAACTGCCCAATTCGTTCATTATAGTTGGCGATTTCAATAGTCACAGCGAGACCTGGGGATCCTACAAATCGGATCGCAGAGAAATCATCGATGAATTACTTAATAACGATAATCTAATGCTTCTCAACAACGGACAACCCACAAGAATCAACCCTATCAACGAACTATCATCCGCAATTGACCTCTCCATCGCAAACACTTCTCTCGCGCATAAATTAGAGTGGTGCACTCTACCTTATACCATCAATAGCAGTGATCACATCCCCATTCAAATATCCATCAACCACCCACTCGACGACACACACCTAGTTTATCCATCTAGATGGTCTATCAGGAAAGCCAATTGGGATCTTTTCTCATCTCTAATAGAAAAAAAAACCGAAAGCCTCCCCACCCCATTACCAGAAAATATAGATGCAGACGTAAAAGAATTTACTGACATTATAACAGAAGCAGCCTTAATCACAATAGGTAGGTCTAAGAGCAGCTCCCCAAGACCTCGCGTCCCATGGTGGAATGAAGAAATAAAAAAAGCTATCCAAAACAAAAATAAAGCTCTCAAGAAATTCCAAACCTCCCGATCGCAAGTGGACTTCATCAGTTTAAAAAGGACAAGAGCCCTAACCAGATATCTGGTTAAGAGCAGCAAATCTTTATCGTGGAAACTATATGTGTCCAGCATCGATAACCAAACTGACTCCTCAATTGTATGGAAAAAAATCAAATCTATTAGAGGTACCAACAGAAACAATATCCACTTCCTCACGGACTCTAACATCACAACATCTCCTAAAGAAGTCGCCAACACCCTGGGACAAATGTTTCAGGAGAATTCTAGTAAATCCATCTACGATCAGGAATTCTTATCCAAGGCAAACATATATAACAACCCATCGAACACAGTAGATCCCCATAATAATGTTCAAACCTACCTCAACTCACCTCTACTCATCACTGAATTGGAGGAAGCTCTCCGTAATTGCAAAAGCAAAAGCCCCGGCCCTGACGGAATCCCCTACCTATTTGTACAAAACCTCCCAGCGAACGCAAGGACCCATTTAATATCAATATACAATTCAATTTGGAACAATAATTGTTTCCCCAACACATGGAGACATGGCCTCGTCATCCCCATTTTAAAACCCGACAAAAACAAGTTTTTACCTGATAGCTACCGCCCCATATGTCTTTTAAATACGCTATGTAAATTACTCGAGAAAATGATTAACAATCGTCTAATGTGGCACCTGGAAAAATCTAACTATCTCACTCCTGAACAAAACGGTTTCAGACGCGATCGAAGCACTACTAAGAATATTTTAAACATTAAAAATGAAATCCAAACAGCTCTAAAGAATAATCAAAGTTTAGGACTGATCAGTTTTGACATTGCTAAGGCATATGACTCAGCTTGGAGACCCAGAATAATCCACAAGCTCAACAAAATTCTAACTAAAGGTAACATGTTAGACTTCATAAATAACTTCCTCGGCACCCGGACGTTTCAGGTAAAAACCTCAAACACCCTATCTGACATATTTACACAAGAGAACGGTGTACCACAAGGTTCCACCATTTCAGTGACGCTATTCCTAATAGCCATCAATGATATCTCCGAAGGAATACGCAACCCCAACATCCCTCTTTTATATGCTGACGATTTCAATATCCTATGTCGCAGCTCCAACAGCAACACTATTCAACAAATGCTACAAGATTCGACCAACAAACTTGAATCCTGGTCAAAAACAGCGGGTTTTCGTTTTGCGTCGAACAAAACTAGCCTCATACTCATCAACCAGAAAAGAAAAAAGGAAAACATAGCAATAAAAATGGGTAACCACACCATCAAGAACCAAACTCAAGTCAAAATCCTTGGGGTAATCCTCGATTCTAAAGCTTCATGGCGCCCATACATACAACACATACGAAAATCATGTCTTTCTAGAATTAATCTGATAAAAACACTTTCCCATACAGCGTGGGGAGCACAAACCCAAATGCTACTGAAAATCCACAAAACACTCATCCTTTCAAAAATAGATTACGGAGCTTCTCTAATATCCGCCGCCAAACCACCTCACCTTAGAACACTGGAATCAATACATAACGCAGGGATCCGACTCTCCATTGGTGCGTTCAGATCAAGCCCGATCAGTAGCATACTCAGCATTGCCGGCATTCCACCATTGGACATAAGATGGTCTGAACTAACATCCAAAACCGCAGCCAGAATGGCCCGCTCCCCCCAAGGTCTTCATTCCTCCCCTAACCACATTTTCAACAATTATAAAAAATATGATTTAGACAACATAATGACTACTGAAATCAGCATATCCCCTCCGTGGCTCATCTCGATGAACATCATCCTGGACTTACACCAACTCCCCAAGAAATATACCAGCTCCACTCAATACAGGAATCTCTTTATGGAAATACTTTCATCTAAACAGCAACACGCACTTATATACACGGATGCCTCTGTCGCGGTAAATCGGGTTGGAATGGCCATCATTCACGGGGATACACATATCCAATGGAAACTATCAAACAAATGCTCCATTTACACAGCTGAAGCACTAGCCATCCTAAAAGCTATTGAGTTTGCAACAAACAAAGTTGAAGCCAAACAAATCATTATCCTTAGCGACTCCCTTTCCTCTCTCATGAGTATCCAGAACCAGTGGAAACCTACTGACTTAGCAAGAAAAATTCATAATGCTCATTCCACCGCCACCTTCGCCGGTAAACAAATATCCTTCATGTGGATTCCCGGCCACTGTAATATAAGAGGAAATGAACTCGCTGACAAGGCTGCCAAACAGGCCCACCTTGCCAACAACCCCCTTACGTCACTGGTTTTTACATACCAGGATGTTAAGAGGATCATTGCTAAAGAGGCACACAACCAATGGGAAAACAAATGGGCAGCTGAGACAACCAAGTTACATGAGATCAAAAGAACCACATACCCTTGGCCGTTCCCTGCAAACATCTCCAGGAAACAGGAGACAGCCATCACTCGCCTCAGGATAGGACACACACACATCACCCATCAACACCTCATGAAGGGAGAAGAACCTCCCATCTGCACCCAATGCGGCTCCCTACTTACTGTCAAACACATCCTCACAGAATGCCGAAGATATGAAAATGAAAGGAGGGAACTGAACCTTCCGGACCAGCTAGCCGAATCACTCAGCCCCGAACAGAGCAACCTAACAACGACGTTGGTTTTTTTACACAACACAGGACTTCTCAACAAAATTTAAGTTATATTATGTTATACTGTCTTTTCTTTCTTGTATTTTTTTCTTTTTTTTTTTTTTTTTCTTCTCCTTCATATTTAATGTATCTATATACAAAAATTTCTAACCCTGTATAGTATTGTATAGCATTAATGTCGTCCAATGGCCATAGTCGCCGCGGATATAATATAATAAAAAAAAAAAAAAAAAAAAAAATTTAGTTATTGTATTTTAAGAAAAAGCAAAATAAATTTGTTTTCATGATACTATACTATAAATGATTATTAATTCTTGTTATTTTATAAGCATATAATGTAAGTTCTTGCATATTTGCTATAATTAATGTTTTTATAGATTAAATAGACCAGTTGTTTAGAGTTGAGTCTTCTGCCCTACTACTTACTAGCTGATAAATATACAGGACAAATAATAGTCACATGCATAGCTGACATAGTAAGAGTAAAAAAAGTAATTTGAAGTATGGTTGTATAGACTATAGATATTTTGTCGTGTCGTTATAATTTGATTAATTGATTGAAAGCAGAAGTAAATAGCAGGTAGTATAAACAGTAAACCCAAGTACAATTTTAGAAATAAGATTCCCGAAAAGTTTTCTGACAGGGTATTCTATTATAATTTTTTTTTAATACTAGCCAAGATGTCAGGAAGATCGCAAAATCCGTTGGCCATCTTGAAAAATTTACAGGGACTGGACAAAGTGGTCAGAGAGGACAGTTTGCAGAAACCCCGGGCTGACCTCTGGTACACATCACGATCTATACAGTAGTGGTTCTAAATGTATAATAATAATACGTTGTACAAGTGTCAATTTTTCACAACGAAAAAAATATTAATCCTGTTTTTTGGTGTATGTATAATAATATGTATTATATATTATGCATGCCTGCAAAAAAATTAAATTAAATCATATTGTTCAATATATACTTGACCACTGGCCGCTCCCGTTTTGCCACCGATCAACGTCTTGGCGATGCCCATTAACACTGACTCCGGTTTTATATCTCGCAGTTTACTCTCTTTCTGGTCGCCTTCGTAGTCCTCGGCACGATGTTCGTCGATCGTGTATCCCGAAACTGATCGATTCACCAACAGCAGTAGGCACACGAACCATGTCACCGACGTCTGCATGGCCTGTGTAATTTAAATTATTATGAAAAACTAATTTTTAATTTTGTTTGCCTGAATACCTATCTATGTAAATTTAAATTTAATTTTATATATAACCTATATCATTATTTTATATTATAACCTAAGTCATTTACATATAATAATATATTATATCACCTTTATCCAGTTACTAAACTATTTGCATTTCTTATTAGAAAATGTCAAAACTTAACTTTTTAAGAAGGTATATTTTGTGTACAATAACTTTCAACTGAACGAATTTTAAGCCATTAACAATATATGAAACATGTATGTACGGAAAGACGGTATTATAATATAGTTGGCTGGTACTCACTAATATGCAGGTGTAATAATATTATTGTGTCTGTAATGTCACTGTAGAATTTACAAGTAACTATTATGGTGTAATGGACAAATGGAGTACAGGCAGTCTGATATTTTCACAGTCGTCTTCGGTACGTGAATGGCAAGTGTTGCCGAGCGAAGGGCTGTTTTTGAGACGTCGCCGATCGACAAAGTAAAAGCGTCACATAAACACGTCTTATTGTTTTTGTGTGGATAGCATATCGCAACTAACATATTATTACTACAGCACATCAAACACATCAGAATCGTTTGTTTTCGAATACACTAAAGTTTCGATCGTCATACATGAGTAACATATATTTGTGTAAACTCACGACTCACGAGATGAAGCGGAATTGTTTTGTTTATAAGTTAAAAATGTATTTAAACGCTTTCACTATATGTATACAAATTATTTGCTATACACGTTTAACGGTTTTTATCTAAAAGTTATTTAAATATAAAATTTAATTTACATAATTATATAACAAATTACAACTTATTACCCATTATTATTATTATAATATGCATTTTACAATAAGTATCGTACAATTTTTTACATGGAAGGTGAAACAGAGATATCTTATAAGTGACTAGTATAACTTGATTCAAATTTAAATTTGTGGATGTAGTTTTTAGATCTAGGTATTATAGTAGCAAGTGGGATAGATAAACGAGATTCGTATCTTACATTTTAAGAACCCCCTTCCGAAATTGTTGCAAATATTATAATTTATAATGTATAGGGAGGGGACTTAAATGCACTTCTAAACAAGAAAAATGGCTAAAAAAATATCATTTAATAAAGCACTTATAAAAAAATGTTAAATAATGCCTTTAAAAAAATTTACTAGTAAGCCACCTAATACATGTTAAAAATAGAAATAAGAATTTTTTTTCCTTTATGACTTTAGGAGGAAATCAATATACATTTTATCAAATTTTCTGAAAACACTATGAAATATGTAAAAATAAGAAAAAATGCCTTAAAAACCTAAAAATGCACTTAAAATATCTAAAAATAACAAAAGTTCTAAAAATACAAAAAGATGAAAAAAATATAAAAGTTTCAGTTTATAGTTCTATAATATACGAAACGAATTGTGTGCTTAAAAAACATTGTTTTAAGACCTTTAGAAAAAAATGCAATTTGCATTAAAATCCACTCCCTGCAGTATTAGTACACCTATACATGCTCTAGAAGTTTAATAATTACTACTATAAGTTCCAACATACGAATCGGCCGTTTTAGTTTTTGAACCTTTAGTAGTCCAGTTACCGCGAAACTTACGAATTTACTATTGACAACATGTTTTGGGTTTTACTAGGTAACTTATCTCAAATCTTAATTAAAAATTGTTTTGCAACTATTATAATTTATGAAATTATAAATTACTAGTAAATTTTTGAACTCATATTATACAAACGATGTCTTATATTTGCCTATACTGAACTCCGTAAAATCGTTCTTTTTCCACCCTTTTAAATTAATTGTACTATTGAATATTGCCCAATAGGTTCTCTTTAGTTATTTAATATGTACACAAATGAAATAAAATAATAAAAACAATAATAAATGTTTTATATTACCTTTGTATAAGAACGAATCATTCTGTATTTTTTTTTTAACCAATCCCACTTAGGTATTTATTTTTACATTCATACAAAAATGTAATACTGTGTCAAATTCCAATATAATACACATTAACTTATATGTATCTAAATTGCCTATTTGTTAATTTATAGGCGCAAAATAATAAATGTATTTTCAACATAATAATATATTTATGAATGAGGTTTTCATACCCAGCCAAATAATAATAAATACTATATTATTGTATAGTAAGTGCAAGAAGTGATCTATTTCAGTAATTGAAGATTGCTAAAATAGTGAACTGATCTTACTGTTATATGTACCTATCTAGATTTGCCAAACTGTTTCATACAGAATAGCAGTGGAAAACCATCTACCAGTTGGTAGCTAGTATTTGATATATTAGAGTATTAGACAAAACATATCGATATTAGATACGTTCAACAACATTAATCTATTTAGACAGTAACTTATCCGACCGCTCCGTATGGGCAGATTTCCATTTTACCGCAGAAGGAAAATAATATTTACTGTTCGCTGTAAAAAATAGTTATTTCCAACCGACATAAACCGGCATCAAAATTTATACTTTCGGTGGAGTGATAAAAAATATATTTTTGCTCAAAAAAATTAATTTTATAACTAAGTATTTGGTTAACCAGATTATTATCTTTGTCTGTTATAGCTACCGATACATACATTATTATGCTAACTTATATGATACATACCACATACAAATTAATGTCACATTACAGCGCAGTGAGATAATCCTATTGCCATTGAATAATATGGCAGTGCCAGAGCTCGCGCCATTGCAGTAAATCGTGCCTGCTCCACCTGCATATTTTTAACGCTATCTCCCCAATGTGTGAAAACCCTTAACTTTTAAGGATCTTTAAGACATTGTTTTCCACACACTTTATAACCAGTATGTTTTTCCGTTATTGGTTAATCAGACACAAAATGGCATGACTAATTGTGTTTTAAAGCAAAAACGTTTTGTTTTGACTATGTCTTATTAATGTGTGTATGCAACGTAATTTCCTATGTTCTATTTTTAACAAAACTGTGTTAGGCTGACTAACACTGTCTAACGCAGTTTTGCTCTTTTGGTGTGCGATCGGCCTAAACTTTAATCTCACAATTTTATGGATTTCACGAAAACTACATAAAATACAACTTGTGGTATAAACGTGGAGGACAATAATTGTATTCAATACATTTCGTATGGTGCCTGTTACCATACGATCGGTTCGGTTTTCATTCCCACCAAAATTAATATTTTACCTGTGTTTTACACCGTTATTTATATAATTATATCACAATCTACAGACTATTTTCATATATAGTCTGTGATTTTATCAATGAGTTGAAATCTATTAACTCAATATGTATGATATTATAATCATTATACAATACTAAAAGAAAAAAAAAGATATTCTACCTTTCTACGGTATATAATGTTTATATTCTATAATATAGGTATCAAATACGGTGTACTAACTCTCGATTATCCGTGTAATATAGGGTGACGTTGCATCCATGGATAAATGAAATCCGTGGACAATCCGCTTAATTCAAATTGAAACGAAAATTTAATAGTTATATTATTAAAAAAATATAATTATGTAAATCTTCTAATGTTATATAATATGTAGTATTTAAGGAAAATTAATTGACAGCCACTTTTATTTTTATTTTTTGGGTTGACCGGTAACCCGATGACGCTGGTCGTACTCAGTGGAGTGGCGAACATATTTCAAACCCTAAGTTAAATATTTGAAAAATGACCCACCCACTACCCCCTACTATATAATATATAATTTAAAGCTGTATGCTAATTTAGAATTTTCGTTATATAGATCTTACGTCATCAATAATTTAGCATAAACAAAATACTATAATAATTAATCATACATTCATTCACGTAAATTGTGATTGAAAAAATATAAATATACATTTCTAGGGCTAAACAATTGCATTTAGTCGTTCACCACTCCACTGGCTGTACTTTAATAGGGTTTGTAGATCATGTACATGGTTCGTTCCGCAGAAGACCTCGAATACCTGTATACTTAACGTAATACCATATAAATACTAGTAAATTATATAATTTTTCTTCGCCCTCCTCTGCAAACTTTATATGGGATCTGCCACTCTTGTCCTTCATCTCCATATGGCTACAATATAATCCAATACTATTGTCATTTGTAAGAATAATAATAATTATAGTAAAAGAAAAATAAATACCATATCCAGGAAAATATATTTTACTCGGGAAAAATACTACCTATTCGTGAAATATACGTGTATTTATAATCTTATAGATAACCACCTAATAAGTTATAGTTATAATATATTTATAAATAATAAACTATAAGCCATAAGGACCTATTTTAGTATTTATAAATAAACATTTTTGTAAAAAATTAACACAAATGTATATTTTAACCACTTATTCAGTGGTTATATATGACGTATTTTTAATGTTATAGGTTAATATACTTAATAACAAATAAATATCTTAGGTAGGTACTCTCGAATTTCGATATAAATTAAGAAATTAGTCGAGTCTTTTTACTAATATTTATAAATTACATAAGTACATCGTACATAGGTACATAAATAATCTAATTTCCATCAACTAATCGTATAAATACTTGTAAACATTTTTCATTTCATTCATGTATTAATGAAATCAAGAAAAAGTGAAAGTAAAAAGTAAATTTATATTTTTTCCACAGAAACAAATGAAATTTAACATTAAAAGAATATTATTATTAGTCATGTAGCAATAAAAAACATGAAATTACTTAAACCTAGGTATAATTAATAATGACACGTTCTTAAAAATACAAGACGGCATACACCCTTTGACGCAACTAGTTTTAACCTGTGATTTCTATAATGTTAAATCATTTCAGGTTTTTATTTAGTCATGACACATAAGAATATAAAACTCTTTTATTTATATGAAAAAACCAAAATAAATAAAACCACTTAACATAATATTACATACATTCAAATTATATTTAACTTGTAAGGTAAACAATGTGCGTTATCCTTCCTTGACGGAAAATAATAACAAAATATATGTGTATACAATTAAATGAGTGTATTAAGTATCTTAAAATAATTACTGTACAATAGTATACATAGGTACATACATGACACAAACAAAGTTACATCAGATATACAAATTCTGTACCACCGCAGAGACAATAACAATAATTGCATAAAATTAAAAGAAAGTGAATTATGTTAATTTTTATGTTACACCGTTATTATTATACTATAACATGAGCTTAATTTGTACACTCTTCCGTGTCTTGAGTATGAACAATATGCATGGGCTTCTAGAAATAATATAAAATTCCGTCGTTTGTCTCATTCGAATGCGATGAGCGACAATGTAAAGGAGTATAATAAGCGACCAAATACTCAAACAGGTAATATGTTATTAACATTTGGGAATATGGAAAAAGTAAGTATAATGTTGCTATATTATATTAGTCGATTAAATGCGATGTGGGTGATTTTAAATAGGTACCTATAATGAATGTTTATAGGTTTTACTTACGATATTGATCTTCGTCTGCCATACCCATCAGAGACCACAGCTCGAAGTAGACGTATTGACTACGACAGAGCCGACCGATACTACTACCGAAGAGACCAAGAGCTTGGAAAAAATTTCACAAGTTACGGAAGCCACTGCGGTGTCGGTTCAAACTTCCGTTAACTTTTCATCGTTCAGTCCGAGCGTGGTTTTTGAAGACTTTAAGCCCAGCAATTATTATAGGCCCGACGGTAACCCTATATTTGAAAGGCCTAGTCCGCAAGTCCCTCACGAAGTTTTCCACAAACCTGAATACTTTGCAAGGCCCAATAATAAAGCAAACCAATTGCCACCGAAATCCAGAGACAATAATGTAATTTTCCCCCAAGCGACCCAAGAACATTACTCCCAATATTCACAATTCGACAACCGATCTAACGGACCGGAGTCTAGGGGTCCGTATAAGTTCACCGAAGCCTTACCTCAGCAGCAGTTCAAGCCGATGAAACACGATTTCGGCGGGACGCTGCCCACCAGTGCTTACGACAACAACTTCTACGAAAGGCATTTTGGAAAGTATCACGGGAACGAGATGTCGCAATATCCAGACATAATACACGAACCACCAAAAATCTATCACAGCGTCACGACTGCTCACAAAAAAGACCCCTGGAGGAGCATGCTTAAGGTGTTGGCCACTATCCTGCCGGTCGGTCTGTTGCTAGCATCTTTTCCACCGACTGTCATCAAAGTGAATTCCACGCAATACCCCTACCAGTGAGTAAATACATTAAATTTCGTTTGATATAAGTGAGTTGTAGGTAAAACAACAAATGAGAGGTATACATACGCAATTTGTAGGAAAAATTCTACGTCGTCGTAGTACCATACTTAAGGTACTTACTTAAATCATAAACCAACGGTCTTATATAGTTAAACCTATGCGTTTCGCTGATAAATTGGGAAAAGGGAGAACATAGTTATTTCTCGGGAACACTGTTTTTTGAGTGATTTTTATTGTGTAAATTTACTCTCAAATGTCATACATTTTACAACATCCTGAAAAAATTTCAGCATATTAAGATTCTTGTGTTTGGTTTTTGGTTTCAGGGCTGTAGGCAAGTTAATAGTTACTACAAAAATATGTATGTAATATATTATTTTAGATTTTGAGTGGGCAATGAATTTATTGATTTTACAATGACGTGTGTGTTTTTTTTTTGTGTGTCTGTCATCACCTTTTAGAACAGTAAAAATGCTGATTTTCTTCAACAGTATCTTTTCTGATAGGAAAATGAATCTAGTTAATACTTTGAGAGCGTCGAAAGTAAAAATGTCCTAGTAATTTTAAAAAGTGCTGTGTAAAACAAAAGAAAAATTAAGGAAAAACGGAAATTTTTACTCAAAGTTTTCGACAAAATCTATTTTAGTTTTTGGTGTAGGTAACTCTAGAAAAAATTACGGTAGATACGTGAAATGTTGACTGAATGTTTATATTAGCATTTTCTATACACCATTTTTAAAATATTGTTAAATATATTGTTTTGAGATGTTTACAGACATTTTCAGTTTCAATTTTTTTTCGGTTTTTTTTTTTTTATAAATATCAATAAATCGTTATGTATTGGGTCAGAAAACTTCAACATTTAACATAAGGCTCCTAATATATTGTTAAAATAGCACAATTTATTTTTTATAAGCATTTAAAGTTTGAATTTCGACATAATTTATCAAATTTAAAAATGGTTTTTTAGTATGATTTTACAAGACTGTGTACAGCAGAGTGACACCATTTTTATATTGATCATAATAATATTTAACATCGACTAAAATGGCCATTGCCCATTTGTTATAACTTATAAGTTTTATGTAACCAATTTACGTCACATTTTAGATTCAGAGCGTAGCGATAAGTGTATATTTACAATGATGTGTGTTTTTTTCTGTCATCAACATTTGGGGTACTTAAAAATTAAAATGCTCCAATTCATCATAATACCGAAAATCTGCAATATATTTTTAGTTGAAAATTAATAAAACAATTTAATTTTATACTTTACATTCGAAATTCTAATATAGAAGATTCCTAACTAGTTTTTCTACCTTTATCAATAAAAAAAAAGTTCACAGGACAGTATCATTAATTTTTTATGAGCGTTTGAGTTTAAATTGTTTACGATATTTGATATTCAGTGGTTTTTTTATTATTGTGCTAATCATTTTGTAGATTAACCATAGATTATCCAGTGTATATATTTATTTGAATTTATGATGTAGGTATCTCGTTTGACCAGTGAAAATATAGTATTATACTAACTGCTAATAAAATATTTACTATTTAATTAAATAGTTTCAAACTTTGCTAAGAAATAAAATAATTAATTATTTGCCTCCGATACTTGTATCTAATATCTATAGTATATTAATAAAATAATAACATCAAACATACTCTAACTATTCGATCTTGTATCCTGATACTTTTTCGGGAGTATCTTTCTCAGCCCTGTCTAATAAATAATAATATGCAGTAACAACGACACGACGTGTATAGTTGTGTTACGCCTCTGCGCAAATCCGCGTCCTCTGTACCCTTTTTCCCGCGCCTTTACGATTTTTGTCCCACAGGTATTGATGTGTTTTTTAAGTAATATCGTCCTCCTGAGGATAACGGTGCTCGTTGCTTGCCCCCAACCAAACCTAACTTAACCACATCTTGAGCAAGACCCGGTGTCAGCCCTATTTTGGCCACTCTTATATTCTGTGTTTTACTGCTTTGTCAACATTTTTATATACCTATAATATATATATACTTATATCCGACCCAATACTTATACATGCGCATTCTTGCGGCCGGTTCCGACATAAGGAACGGGGCGGGGAAAGGGGAAATGTACGCGGTGGGCATATAGTCGAATGGCGCTGCACCCGGTGAAAAGTGCGTCCTTATACGGTAGATCGCACAGCCCGACCAAGTAAACCGTTCCTCTCTAATCGGGAGACTTCGCGCGACTGCGACGTTTCGTGCGGGTGAAAGCGTCTGGGCAGTCGCGGCTACATAATATATTATACGTATATATGTGAATATTCACACACGACGAGCTGACTACGATAACATAACCCACCGCGGCACCCGCAGTCCACGCATATAGCTTCTCCTTTCGTACGAGTACTGGGTGTGCATTAGTGTGTGTGTGTGTATATTATGGTCTGTGCGATTACGATGTCGTACCTGTGGATTGGATTCGAAAAAAAAAAACGAGAGGATAAAATAATACTCGCGCCAGTCACTGGTATAACGCGTACGCAGTGTAATATATCGAGTCAACCGCACACGTCATATTATTCTATGTTATGCTATATGGTAGGTACACGACTGGTCGTCGTACAATAATAATTGTTGTCTCCCAATAATTATACACGGTGATACACAAAGCATGCCCGCCTCCAGCTTTTCCATTAAGAATGAACATCCTCAGTCTGATTGTTGGAATTTTTAAATAGATACACTTAAATGCATATTTTAAAACTCTTGAGATTTTATGTACAATTTAAGAAGTTTCCCGAGGCAATACAACTTTTGTCTTTAAAATGAGAACCCCCTTTTTTACTGTAAATTATCTATAAATTATTTTTTTTATTGAAAATGTTGATGTAGGACGTAGGTACCTAATTCAACATTTGAACCAGTAGTTTCTCTGTTATTAATATATAAAGATAATTATAGTCCTTAAAAATGGTTTTACAAAAATATAAAAAGATGTGATATTGGATCTAGTATTTATTCAGACCATTTTTACAAATTACAAATGTTGATAAATAAATATTAATTACTACAATTTTCAAATCTCCATAGCCCCCATATTTTCCAAATCCATTGGGCAATTATTCTTAGTACATAAAGTTAAATTACTCAAAAAACTTCTACAAAATATGAATATCTCATGAATTTGAAAATGTGGCTTGTAATTGTATTAAAAAAATTACAAAAATCAAATTTTAAATAACTATATTATTGAAATGAAAAAAAGGGGGACAATATGCTTGGTGAATCATTCTGTATACACAATATACACGCTTGCCACTGATGCGGGTCACACGGCCTGTTGTCGCACCCTGTAGAGAAATCTTCGATTGTACAAAGGGCATAGCTGCAACTTACAGACACTCAGTGTGTTTCGTTTGTATACTTACTTGATGTCGAGGGTTTACTATTATTACTATTATTATTATTAATTAATATTATTTTTCATCTCGTTAGTACTAATTGTTGTGTATACGATATGCCATATGCATATGTAGATGCTCTGCCGAGTAAACTGCATGTTCGACGGTCGACGTTAAATTAGATATATTCGACATCCATATAATTCAGCTATTCGAATTATACGTATTCATACGAGATTTTTATCTAGTTATGTTGCCTAAAAGTGAAAACGACTAATTAGACACGTTTTTTTGGAAATATTTCTAAAATTTGATGAACACTCACCGTATTGCTGACTGCAGCTACATTATAATATACACGCAGCTAGATTAGAGTAATATTCAACTTCGCTACAGGTCCTTATGATACGTTATTAGAGCGCATAGATATTATGGTTGATACGATTATTTTCCATGCTCCAGTGTATTTAAAGTTTTAACGCAGATTAATCATCTTTGTCCGATCAACCTCCTGTACGGTCATGCTGCCATGGCATGTTTCCTGTCTAGATGTTCAAAATAATTTCTTTGGAATACGTCTAGTATGCACACTATGCGCTCATTTTATTTTTTAAAAAGCAAATAAGGTTTATATTATATATTTATTATGCCAGAAAAGAATAAAAATGGCTCGGACAGTATAGAATTGAACAGTGTTACTGTGATATATACACACACACACACACACACACACACACACACACACACACACACACACACACACACACACACACACACTTACATACATGGAATATTATTACCTACGCTTGAATTAGTATAATATATTATGTATTATATACCTTTGGCATAGGTTCCAAAAAAATTCGACAGTATACAATACAAATGTTATTGCTGGGAGGTATAAGGCATTGAGGAAGATAAGCACGGAATGGAAAATAGACGGAGAAGACAAATCGACCGGATATTTAGACAATTGTTTGAAAAAGAAAATATGCGAAACCATAAAGAACAACTATTCACATAGTCAATTGGAAACTCTACAGCAAAACTATAAACTAAAGTAAGATTATTTAAACGGTTATAAATAATTGTTCATACACCAACCGACTACGATGTACCTAAATAATATTGCTGTGGTCCATTACAAATCTGTACTAAACATTCTACGTCATTATAATGTACTATTGCCTATATTATTACACTATTTATTACCATATTAAATGAATCACAATATTAATACATATTATAGTATATTACTTACAACTAATCAGTATTATATCTTTGTAAATGGTTCATAACTGTTTATGAAAATGCCAAAAAATATATTGACCATTATAGGTACTAAATACAAAATAATAATTATAATCATATTGATTAACTGATATTTCCAAAACCCGACCATCATAATTATAGATATATAATATAATATTAAGTAGATGCCTACTAAGAACGAGCACAGTTTTATACGAGGTTAACAGAAACATTATTCGCTTTGAATAATAATTTTTCCATGGTGGGCTACAACCATGTTTTTCTGATTTCTCAAGTTCGATTTTATACCTAGTACCTACCTGTGGAATACGAGAAAAAGGGTGGTTTGTTAACATTATAGTATGCGTATGTTTATAAAATTGACTTCGACGGCTTAAGAACACAATCACATCTGCATAAAATTATGTTGTTTCCATTTTACACACGTATTACGAATAAAATTACAAATTTGAATTCAGCTGAAGACAAATATTTTGTGTTGTTAACTTTAATGTTAGAGTGAATAAACTTAAAGTAGGAATACTATTTGTATTTCTTCGATATTTTAGTTGCTAATAAACGAGTTATTGCATACTGTAATATTTTACGTATTCAAAACTTGCTTAAAATTTTAAACATGGTAAAAAACCTAAGCACAAACACCGATTATGTTCTTGTTCTTAAGTTTTATAATAAGTCAATTTATTACAACAATTAAGCAAACGACACAAAATTGATTCGACTAAATTTGTAATAAGTTTGATACCTATGTTCTACGGAGCAACATATTATAATATGCGGGCATGGCGTCCTCTTAATATAGGTATAAACATCATTAGCCGCGGTATAAAATTATGGTCACATAATATTATCATTGTCTTATTATTTTCAGTTGGACCACGGACAATGGCCCGTCGATGGTGGAAATCGCAAAAGCAGCCGCGTCCGCAGAGCCGGAATCGTGTCAAGTATTCGTTTGCAGTGATTGAACAAGCTGGGCGTCGCTGTAGTGTTGTTATGTATATAGTATATACATTTATTACCTACTGTCTGCAATAATAATAATAATAATAATAATAATAATAATATAATATACCTGGTAGCTTGTATATATAGGTACATTTTTATAATATCAACACGGTAACCACAATTTTTATGTATACCGATCAGACCGCGAGAATTCCATTAATGCACGGAATGCAGACACGTTTTAATGGCTGGGTATCGGAAGTTGACTTGGCCCTGGGCGAACTTTCGTTCCGCGATAGCCATAAATAAATAATAATAATAAAAAAACCAAATCTGCTGGATGAATTTCGTCTAAGAATGTGGTTGATGACACATTCTTACTTTACGGATATCGCTTTCTTTTGTAGCTTTTGCCGCGATCCTCAATCATAGACGATAGCTAGGCATCATACGATTAATATTATATTATATACTTAGATTAAATAAATATGCATAATATAATAATATATATTTTAATCAACGGTAGATACGTACAGTATTTTCTATTACAAAATTTAAACCTGATGAAAGTCCAAAAATCGTCATATTTACGTTTTTATATATTACATCTATGATTTGACCGAAATCGATCATTTACTGCACTGTACTGTCTGGATTATACGTTATTATCTTATACCTATATAGACGTAGAATATCGTGTGTGATTTTTACACTATAGTATATTTTATTCGTGTTAAAGCATAAATAATATTAAACAAGCTATTACAGTTCGTATGGCGTAATACAGTCAACTCTATTGGAAAACCAAAATTATCAATAAAAAATAAAAGGTTTCATTCATCATTGCCGTCAAACTATCATAAGACTACATTTTTTTTTTGTAAGCCCATGATCGCATCTAACTTCATCATTGATCACATCTATTGTCTAATCAAAATATTGCTTATTACACTGCCATAGTATAATTATATTATGACACGACGTCAACTCCAAAATCTGAAACGAATAACATTTACTTGACACAAATTTCAATTTATTATAAAATTAATATATTATACACTACAACGGTATGCGGTTATTGCAATACATTTTCATATGTACATAAATTCGATTTCGTCTTCCAGGGCTTTCGATAAAAACGTTTAACGGAGTATAACGTATTATTTTAATGTAAGTAGCATGAAAAAGTAAAACCGAAAAGCAACATGCGCAGACACGCTTAACTGCGAAATTAAATAACTCTCCAGCGATTATACATTCCTCTCTCTTCTACAGACGTTGTAGATTTAAAGTTATGATTTAATATTTTGTATAATACGTAGTGCGTACAATATGTATGCTAGTGTATATTAAGGTCGACGTTATACCTTTTAGAAGGTTTTTAATAAAACGTCCAATACCTATTCACCAAAATGTATACACCGTATCATCATTCTATTATTGTCGATTAAAAATTAAAAATTTTTGTACTTACCATGAGTCTCTAATTATCCATTTTAATTATTTATAAAATATACCTATTTCGAAAGTTTTAAAATGTTACGTAGCATATCTACGTAAATTGTACTACCAATAGTAATATAATAATATACTAATAATGTATCCCCTTGGCCATTTTACACAAAGTATACATTATCTATATCAACGGAATAAAATAATTGTTTTATATTTGTATTATATTCTTAATTTTAACATAGTGAAGTATAGTATTATACATAGTAGTTAAAACTGGTAATGGTTTTGAAAAGAAAAAAGTAAGTAAAGTACCTAAGTTTAAAACATTCCTTGCGTAGACCTACGGATTCAAAATTGAGTAAGAATACTTAATTTTACTTTAAAAGTTGACCAGCAAACACATCCTTGTAAAATCAATACATTCCATTACTCATGATTTGAAATGTTAAAAAAACTAAAACAATAACCCATCTTTTGACCAACTTTTCGATTATATTCTCACTCCTATTAAAAATTGTTTGTTTAAACTGTTTAAAGATATTTGGTGAGTGACTCACTTGATTCATTAAGGTGTATCCATTTTTTTTATAAATGTGTACATGCTGTTATGTAATATTTGATAATTAGAGATCTTATATGTTTAGTCATTGGCAATGTATTTTATGGTAAATTATGCATCCGAATAGAGAAGAGAGACGACGATAAGAGTGGCTACTATAGTCTATATATAATATATATAGTCAGTACTAAGCTTGGGAACTCTGAATTTTATTCCATCTATTTAAATTATTTTCTTATTGACGATATTGTCTATGTATTTATGTTTCTAGTAATGGGTATTAGCGTCATTAATTAATTTACCTAGACTTCTATGACAGTCCCAGTATAAATACCCGTATTATGAACTGTAATGGATCATGATTTTATTTATTACCCAATTTCTTAAATTTACCTAATACATTTTAAAGATAGTCTTGAACATGTATATTTCAATGTCATTTTTTAATATCCTTTTTGGGTCGCTGGGAACGATCTTAGTGAAATCATATGCATTGAAAAAGCATACTATATGTATAAAATATACATTTGTGGGTGTCTTATAATCTAAACTATATTGATATTCTATATTCTATAGTTTATTAGTCTTGTAATATTTCTTTAAAATCTATTATAATTTGGTTGTACTCGTCTTATACCATTGTTGTATGTATGGTTATATATTAAATACCATCATACCAAAACTGATAGGTTCTCGAAACAACTTTCTGAATATAATTATTATAAATATCTATTTTATTATTCTTAATTATTTTTCGAAGACATTCCTACAACGTATACGTTATGTATAAAACGCTATATTATAAGATATTATATGATTTTTTATCTCACTCTTTCGTGTAAATAACTTAAAAGTATGTTAATTTTTAAAGGTCAACTACTTTATAACTTACATATGTGAAAAATATTATGAACACATACAACAGCAAAAAACAAGAGATTTTTATTTTTTAATAACTATCTCGTTCATAATAATTATTTTAACCTTACAATAATAATTATTAATTACCATTTATTTTGGTTATTAGGTATATACTTTATAAATAGGTAAGTAACGTGACTTGATTTAAACTGATGCTTTAATTTTTTATACACGGTCAATAATATGTAAATCAAGTTCACTAATTTACCAGTAGAAGACATAATAACTGAAATATCACCATATTAATCAATAAAAACAACCATTACAACTATGTACTTAAATAGTTACATACTAACAAGTAACATACATTTTGAGTGAATAGTTTTGTCAAATAAATGTATTATAGGGTTTAGTGATTAGGAATATTAAGATGATGTCTGCGCACTATTTATTTTTTCTCTCTGACCCTTGTGTAACATTATAGAAAATTGTTATTTCAATATCTGTATTGCGGATTATGTCGAAACGCAAACAATAATTGAAGACGAGTTTGAAAACAATAGTATTTATATGATGCACTTATTAGTTATTAGTTATTATCGCAATAGCTTATACTTAAGTATGAAAAATAAACTTTTGTAGTAAATACAAAAAAAACAAAATAATGAATTTGTTTTTAAAGAATTAAACCCTATATTTTAACTTTGGTTATACGATTATGATCGATATATTTTATCATGTAACAGTTAGCATAAATATAAATCACTATACAAATAGACTTTAATTAACATTGATATCACCTATAATTAATTAAAACATTTAAAAGAAAATTCAATATACCTGTTTATTAAGTTAATTTAGAATTGTGTGATTATATATTTTATGTTGTGCACACAATATGCAACCCAATACTAATCGAACATTTTTTATTTTTATATCGTGATTAAAATATCTGATTTGAGTAATTTAAGGAATTCCATAACTAATTCACTACTTGTAGTCTTGGAATTTCACTGGAGGTGGTACAAAAAACTTTCTACAAGTTACAAAATAATTGAGAATATCATTATTTAACTTGGTGTAGATAATATTATGCACGTGATTAAAGCCTATTCGTTGATTCATATTTTTTCTTAAGCAGAAATAGTTTTAATGAGAATATGAAATCGTTTTTAAAGTTTAAGCAAACCCTAAAATACGTTGTTAAAATTGTGTTTTTATTTTAGTCCGTTCTTTTCTTATGATCATCTTTGTGTCATTCATATTCTCCAATAATTTGCTTTAGAATGTTTTTAGTTATAGAATTATATAGATTTTCTATCGATAAGTTAAGTTCTGTGGTCGATGTACCATAATTATTAAATTGTAATATGATGAGAAAAGGGGCAGTACAATTTGTCAGTTTTTCAAATGTATAATATATATGAATCAAGTCAATCAACCGATAATCAATAGTTTATAGGTACGCCTTATAAGTATACATTTTTACATGCAATTAAAAAAACAAAAACTGATTTCCTTAAAAAAATTTTATAAAATAAAAAGTTCAAATTTCGACAAAACCACTGTTCATTTGTAGTTCAAAACTTATAAAATATTACATTTTTAAGCTCTTTCATACAAATAGTTCATGTTTTTACCCAAAAATGACTGAACATTTTAGGAAAATTGATATGCAAATAGAATGTTTCTACAAAAATGAATTCATTTTGGTAAGACGTATATGAATTTACGTCTTGCTCACTAGTTGACAGTTGAAACTTGATAAGTATTTTTTTTAAAGTAATAATAATACGGTCAAGGCGGGAGCACTTCAGCCCCCTAGCCGCACTCCCCGCCTGCGTACGCCCCACATCACAATGTTTGTTTATTCGAATTTGGTCATACGTAATAGTATGGGAATAACTGTGATAAAATTATGCAGTATAAACCAAGCTCTCGTTATTGAAGACATTGATTGACTGACTTTCCAATTAGATACATAATACCTACTTATACGAACTTGAAATATTAATTTAAGATTCATTAGCTATTTATATAATAAAACATTTGATATATCGTTAATGAAATAAAAATATTCTTTTAATTTGCTGTACCTATATTTTATTTGTTATTGATTTATACCTTTCTTCTAGGTGGTTTATA